TCAGTGCTATATTTTGTATGGAATGTATGTTTAAGGCTTATATAAGGATGTTTCAGGTTTATAGAAGTAAAATAAAATGAAGTTTAACTTACTTTTGGAAGATGTACTCGAAGGCTTAAGGAGATGATGGAGGGGGAGGAGAAGGAAGAGGAGGATTTTATATCATGGGGCCGAGAGGGTCTTCGTCGTCGCTGGAATGGGCTTCAAGAGTTACTTCCTCCTCCGTAACATCAATGAAGGAAGAAGTTGAGGGTCCAGGAGAAGAAGATGAGGGTTGACGAGTATCTTCCTTGGAGGGTGTAGTAGAAACTGGCCGAAAGAAGTGATCTAACGACGATTGCACAGTTTTCTTCTTTTTCTCATCATAAATGATGCAGTAGCACTGTATGGCATCATTCATTTGATTTGCAACCTTTGTGCAACGTTCAATATTTGGGTCTTGCTGCTCGAAGAGTGCGATGGTTTTATCTATGAGAAAACCCCTCGACCAAGATTTCCGTCTCGAACTTCTTCATGGGGACAGGCGTTTCCTCCTCCTCCTCCTCCTCTCACAGCGCCTCACGTCGGTATTAGCGGCGGAAAGAAGTACTACAGTACTCGGAAAAAGGCGCGCAATACAAAATCTAACTTACAGCATCTCTCTCTGAGAACATTTTTCCACATACCTGTACCTGCAAAAATGTTCGTATGTCCCGTTGTTCGTAACACAAATGTTCGTAAATCGGGGAGCGTCTGTACAGTGATAATTTTACAGTGTACAGACTCGTATGAGTCCCATTATGCATTTAGAGAGTCCCAAATTTCGAATTCTGAAATGGTCTACTTATTCAATTGCATATGATAACACAAACAACAACAATATACATTGATAATAGGTTTATTTCTTATAAACAAATGTTGCAAACATTTAAATAATTCAGGCATACAAGATTTGCTGAGAAATAGGTTCTTATTTCATCCCATGGTTCAGTCTTTGAGTTCATAAATTATCCTCTCTTTACTCTGCTTCCAATGATGCAAGGCTTTCTCAAAATCAACTTATCGCAAAAAACTTTACAACTTTAGCTGCTTGGATGGATCAAAATATGTTGTACTCATATGGCATCATGAATACAGCATACCACAAAATCTGAATATTTTTTCCAGTCTCACACTGCAAAGATTAATTTACTGGTCATCATCAATACAGGTAAGTACTGATGTGGCTTGACATCCTCTTCTCAAGACGATGCATGTGTAATATACAATCAATTTGACGAAAGAATCTACCACACGTCATTATTAGTTCTACCAACAGTTAACATTAGCATTACTACACTTTGTGACGAATGTTTTCACACACACACACACACACACACACACAATACATCCTGATTTATATAGCGCCTTCACAACAGCTGCAGCGGTAACAAAGCGCTTAACAAAACAGTTAACATAAAGTAAAATAATAAACACAACACATAACATAAAACACGGTCGTGCATTCCTTACCACTTTTCCCTCATACGCTTTGTTGTTTAAAGCAGTTTGAGATGAAAGAGAAGAGAATCAAAGTGTCCTTTCACCAGTGGATCAGAGACGTCATGCTCAACATGTGCACACGTCGGCTACAAGCTAAGTTTCGAAGTCAACAAGAAGCTGTAGCATCTACATACACACATATATATATATATATGTGTGTGTGTGTGTGTGTGTGTGTGTGTGTGTGTAGAGATGTGAGGTGACAGCCATTAACAAAGCAGCAGAAGATTATCTATCTATCTATCTGTCTATTTATCTATCTATCTATCAACAGTATATAATCTCCAGTTTCACTTCAGATACCAAAATGAAGTGTTGTCTTATTGCTTGGGTGGGCACTGTTGGCTGGTAGGTTAGGTATGAAATGAATGCACAAAATGTATCTCAGTTGAGGCAAATGTCAGATGTCACAGTCATTCTAACATGTGGTGTTGCTAAATTGTCAAAGGTCTGGATAATTAATAGCTGGCCTTTTTTAAACTTCAACCATCCCCCGATTTGGATTTTTTTTTGACTATTTAACAAAACATAATCTGATTTGGCAATGCTTGTCGATATGTTGCTCAAGGGTCCCAAGGTTAGCCATAGTTCATCAGCCCCTCTTGATTTCCTGATTTAAATAACGAAGTGAACTTTTATACAGTACATTAGTTTTATTCAGTGTTGGGCTGTTTTGGCATTTGTACTTTGTAAAATGAGTAGAGGATGCCCAAGAAGCCAAATAGATGTATTTGAAATCTTGTTTTGTCTTAGTTCATAAAAGCTTTTCATGAAGCTCAGTTCATAAAAGTAATGCAATTCAATCTGTTTTTCCTCCCTTGTGCAATTCATTGTGGGACAGCTGTACATTCTTCTTTCTCTCCTTTTGATTTAGTCCTGATTAGAGATTGATCGTGCTGTATTCTTCAGGGCCGATACAGATTATTAGTAGTTATCGAAAATCGATATTTGCAGCCGATGAAAAGGAAAATATTGTCTTCAAAAAACAACCTCCAACTCTTAACTTTGTTGCACTTTTTTCAGCAGATGTTAATTGAACTACTTTTCAGATTCGTAAAATTTTGAAGGGTTGTTTTCTTTTCTTCCATTTTTCCAATCTAGGCAATAGACTTTATTTTTTAAAATGTGAACAAAATGTTCAGGCCTCTCCCAAGGACATCAGCATGTCTTAAAAAGTCAAATGAAAACTTAAACAACAATACCTTCCTGTAGTTTTCTACAGTAAACAAAGTTTTTTAACATTTGAAAAAAAATCTTTAACTTTATTTCATTTCAAACAAATACAAAAGGTGTAAAGAGTTCCCACGGTCAAAAGCATCTCATAATTTACTGAAAATGTAAATACATTGATTTCCGAAGTTTAAAATTACCTCTTTTTTCAGATTAAAAAAAAAAAAAAGGCCGATGTGGATAGTCATCAAAATGGTGATTATCAGAACCGATAGTATGCCCGGCGATAACCGGTCTGTCCTTAGTCCTGATTTATTGTTTCTACTGCTTGTTCAAAATGTAACATTGTGCCAATGCTAACTTGAGGAAGGGAGGGTAAAACCAAAGCCCTATGGTATGGTCAGTCAAAAGTATGTGGAATGTGTCCTTCAGTGGCTGATCAAGCGGTTGTTGCTGCTGATTATTCAATTAGTGGTGCAGAGGCACAAAGAGAGACACAATATTTTACGGTGTCGTTTGTTTCTTAACTGTACATGCATGCTTTGCTAAGTCGAAAATCCTCCTGTTTCTAACTTATGAATTTGCTGTTAAGTAATACACGTGGTATGATTAGCAAGTGATGAATGACCACCCTATGCAGTTAGATGATTAGAAATCTAAATAGGCTTATTGACACTGTGGTTACAATTGTTCACTGTTGTTTGTTGTTGTTGTTTTTTTTTTTTAACTCAGATAACACACTACAAACAGTATCCTCCCAACGTTAGCAAAATCTACTCCTACTTTGAATGTCGTCGCAAGAAAGGCTCCCAGTTCAACGAAGTGGTGTTTTTTGGTCTCCAGTATTTATTGAAGAAATATCTCACAGGTACATTTACTTAAAAAAAAAAAAAACAACCTTACAATCATGGTGTGTAATTCATGTTTGATGAATGTTTAGTGAAAGTCATTGCAGCTGGCCAGTTCTAAGTGTTCTATTGTTTTTCTACAGGGCAAGTGATTACAGAAGAGAAGATTCAAGAAGCAAAGGTCTTCTACCAATTGCACTTCAAACAGGCTGTATTTGATGAAGAAGGCTGGAGAAAGGTTCTTGAGGTATTTCATGATTTATAATGTTCTATGCCAAGGTATTTCAAAGCAAAAGAAGTTAGTGGAAATAGAAATGGTCAAAAACACAATGTTCCTTGGCACAGTGATACACAATTCAATTATTTAAAAAAATGCATGCTATTAATGGCTGTAATACTTTGAATTAGGTCTGAAAATGGGCCGAATCAAATTGTGATCCTTTAAAATCTTGTTTTTAAAATTGCTTTTTTTTAATCCACTGTACATATGACTAACGCAATCATACATTTACTACTGTTACATTTAGTATCTGACCTGTTCCCGGTGAGTCTGTTTAAGAGATGGAACAGTGAGAAAACTTGATATCACAATTATCACGTCCAACATTTAGTAGGATCCGATTACCGTATTTTCCGCACGAAAAGACGCACTGGATTATGAGGCGCACCTTCAATGAATGGCTATTTTGTAAATTTTTTTCATATATTAGACGGCTCGCACTAAAAGGCGCAATCTACAATGTGGCACTAAAGGGTGCTACGCTCCTTCCATTCAACTCGAGAGGCGTCTGTTCAACTTGAGAGGCGTTCATGACCGCCTCTGAAAAATGTAAATTAACTATTACTGTACTAAAATGAAACTACGAAAATTGAAAATAATGCATCAAAACAGAAAATCAAGCGAGGAAATCACAAAATAAATTCTATATCCACGCTACAGAATTTATTTTGTGATTTCCTCGCTTGATTTTCTTCGTGGTTTCATTGAAGTAAGATTTAATTTACGTTTTTCGGAGGCGGCCATGAACGCCTCTCGAGTGGAACGGAAGAAAGCACAGAGACGGACAAAGACGTACAGTACCTGTACTTGCTGAGACGGTGAAAACCATCAATAAAGTCTGCATTTAAAAAAATAATAAAACCACAACCACAGCTCTCATTTTTTCAACAAACTCAGGTGTGTCTGTGTCCGTCTCCTTCCCATCTTCCGGTCAACTCAAGAGGCGTTCATGACCGCCTCCGAAAAACCCATTGGCATTTCCTTTATCGTAGCTCCAAGAGTACAATCAGATAAGATAAAATAAGAAAACCTTTAATAGTCTCACAATGGAGAAATTCCCACTTCACAGCAGCAAAGTTATGAGAGGAAGCAGTAGAAGAACAAAATAAATAGGAGCTGCTGGAAAGGCAGCCACTCTCGCGGCGCCCTCTTGAAGTCAAAACAACACA